CCCCAAAACCCCAAAACCCCAAAACCCCAAAACCCCATAATTGGTCAAAACAATTGAATCTTTCAATTGTTAGATACTATCTCTAAACTCAGGGGGAGTTATTATTCCTGAGTTACAAATGTAAAACACCTCATCTTGGAACAAACCATGCTCTCTAAACATTCTGTAGAATTGATCAAACTCACAGTCTATGTTCTTTCACTCATGAAGCTTTATTTGGGAATTATTGTAAAATATTTTGACATAGTACTCTCCATTTGGCCTCTTATATAACTCAAATATGAACCCACTAGCATAGTCTACATATTCTAACTCAAAGTTCTCAGGATTAAAGAACCTCAGAAAGTTTGCAATCATTGTATCATGAGTGGAGAAATAAATATATTTCTCAGTGCCTCTAAATCCAGTCAATTGCCGATTGTCGTGGTCTCTTCCCATTTTCATTAGCATAAACTCAAGAATGGGGTTAAAGAGTTTAGATACCATTAATTTGTTCCCAAGAGGAGAAACAGAATCTATGAGCCAAGGAATTTGTAGTCTCTTAACATCTAGCCATTCTTCTTCGGTAAAGTTCTCTCTTGAGAACAAACCTTCAAATTCGAGGCTCACCAAAGCATCACCAAGAACGTATGTGCTTTGATAATTTAACTCCTGTTCGGGAAGTCCGAAGTATTCTGCTATTTTCTTGTAGATTCTTGGTTTGAAGTAAGCATCAAACTTCTTCCAAGCAGAGGGATTTTCTCTCCTTGCATTCATTTTTGAATATAAGTAAGGACAAGACCCTAGGGAATATACAGTATCTCTTTTCTGCTCATTGTTGTGTACAGCAATTGGCTCATATTTGCTAGGGATAGAATATCTTGTATTTCCAACATAATCATCACTCAAGTTCATCAGAGGCATTGATTTTTCAAAATCTCCCTGAATCTGATTATTACTTGATTCAGGCGGATATAATCCGATTAAATGACATCTGGCACTTTGAATAGTCCGGCCTAAATGTGTAGATGTGACATGGATTTCATCTTCTTTGTACTGAGGACTCAGGAACTCCATCTGTTCAATATATTTCTTACGAAGATATCTAAGAAGTAAACTAGGAGTTTTACATACCTTCCTATCAAGTAATGTTGCCTCATGCCACTTGCACTCAGCATGCCAACATTAACATCGAAGTCTTGAGAGTACTGTTCTACCAGTGGTGCTCTTGCACCATGTCTTGAGAGGTCAAATACAAGGATAAGTTCATCATTGGCACAGGTCAGTCTATAGATAAGCAGAGAGATACCCGAATAAGAAAAGCAACAGTAATAAAAGAGCTTTCATTAAAATATTTGTTTTATTTATTATTTAGTTATTTTTGGGGTTTTGGGGTTTTGGGGTTTTGGGGTTTTGGGG